GCCGCGTTCGGGACACGGCGCCTGGCACCGCCGCACCGGGCTTTTGGTGGCCCGCGGGGCTCAGCGCTTCTCCCCGGCGCCTCCCCCTCTGCCTGCCCGCGGCCTCCGCGCCGGACCAGGGCCGGCAAAAAGCCCCTGGGGCCTTCCCGCGGGCCCTGCGCTCCAGCGAGGGGTTTTCGTGCGGTTCAAAGGCTGCGGGAGCCTTGAACCTAGCAGTGGCCTCGAGTGTGTCCTCGCCTAACTTCTGCTGATTCTTGCTGCTCCCAGGTGTTCAAACGCTTCGTCGAGATCGGCAGGGTTGCCTTCATCGCCTTCGGGCCGCATGCTGGCAAGCTGGTGGCCATTGTGGATGTCATCGACCAGAACAGGGTAAGCTGAGAGCGCCGCACCTTTGTTTTCTTTACGTTTTAACAGAAGCTTGTGCACTAGGGCAGAACATCGATTTTAAAGGAAACTTTCTGTGAATAGATTTTTCAAAGAAATAAGCAACTAACCAAAACATGGGTTTTAATAGCCGTTGTTGTATTTGAAGTTTTCAGTAGCAATCTTTTTTCACTCGCAAGTGATGTATTCCCCTTTCTGCTGTGTTTCCTAGGAGTAGAAGTGGACAAGTGATGTCACTTGGAGTCTAAAACTTATGAATGGAATGGCATTAATGTATGTTTAAAGCAAATGTTTGGGCTAGGGGGAAAAAAAATAAAAGATTAATTCTGTCATCTTAGTTGTGTTCTTTTTTTAAAGTTCAGGGTTTTTGTTTTTTTCTCTGAAGACAAAGATGGGCTGTTAAAATTATTCTGTAAAGCTTGGGTTGTGTACACAAAACTTAACAATCTTGGGTTTTGTCTGCATAATGTTCATTTCAGTTTTGGACCATTGTTGTCAAGCTGCTGTTCATGCCTTACTAGGAGGCTGCTGTCTAAATCTAGTATAATGTGAAAACTGCTGCAAACCCCCCCCATCTGTTTTGCTTTTTCAGGCACTAGTTGATGGCCCCTGCAGTGGTGTCAGAAGGCAGGCTATGCCCTTCAAGTGCATGCAGCTGACTGACTTTGTTCTCAAGTTCCCACACAGGTGAGTTTTTGGCATTTTTTGGACCTGTCTAAAAAACATGCTGTCACTTGATGCCTGAATTACGTGATCTGATGCTTGTTAAATCTAGAAAGTTCACATGACGGATTAACGTGGAGAGTACGAATTTGGCAGACGGTATTATCATAGTTGAATACATTTAAGTTTTCATTATCAATAATGGCTGATAACCACTGTTCAGGAGCAAAGGAAATAGCACACTGGCCCAGGTACCTTGCAGATAGTTGTCGGGGGAAGCAGTTGCAGTAAATACTGTGCAGTTTCACTTTTGCTACTGCTTGGGTCATCCTTGGGCATTAAATACATTCCCTGCCTGCAGAACTGCACTGGAAGTGTAGGAGGCTGAACTTACTCTGTTCTCTTTAGCTTAATTACTGCATGAGTTTCTGTAATTCAGAAACTAAAGTTGCTGCCTGTCTAATTCTAAAGCAGTGCTAGGAATAGTGCGCGAGCGCGCCTCTTGGAGTTCCTCGTCTGTTCAGTCCCAGGAAAGCATTTACACACCGAAATAGGAATTAGGACACAGAGATGTAGGTGGCATTGGCTTAAAGTAAGTGTCTGAAGTAAGGTAGAAGGATGCTCTGCCTTTGTATGCAAGTCGATGGGCCAGCATCAGAGAGAACCTTTTTTTGTGAAGACTGTGGGTGTAATTATGTGACTGTTTTAATGCAGTGCTCGTCAGAAGTGTGTGCGACTTGCCTGGGAGAAGGAAAATATAAATGAAAAATGGGCAGCGACAAGATGGGCAAAGAAGATTGAAGCCCGAAAAAAGGTGCTGTTTTTCACTGGATGAGTAATAACGCGTTGTACTGCTACTGCTTCTGCTTATTAAAATTAGGTGCGAGCTAATAATGTATTTTCAATTGCAGGGCTAAGATTAAAGGTAGACAAGGCATAGATTTTTAAAAGTTGCTACCTATCAGCTTCAGCTTGTTGTATTTCAACAGTAAAGGTGGCTTTGTTCATTCATTTCTATAACCACCTTTTTTCCTGCACCACCACTTCCCAGCGAAGGCCTTAAATAGTGAACTAGTTGCAGAAGTGCAGCTAAACCTAATTTGGAGATGATCAGAGTTACTTGTGGAATGCTTTGAAACACTGAGTTTTACTACTTGCATATGAGTAGAGCTTCACGACTGATTCTTTTCAAACAGAAAGCCAAGATGACGGACTTCGATCGCTACAAGGTTATGAAAGCAAAGAAAATGGTAAGTGTTTGAGTGCCACTTCTTCATGGGGTTGGTGCTTGTAGCTTTCGCTTCAGTCGTGTACAGATGTTAGTAGCCTTACTTTTATAGCTGGCTCGGGCTATGGAGTGACACAAAGTATGCAGATACCTTGAATTTTTCATGCTTCTTTGAATGCCGCTTGCTCTTCAGTCGTTGATCAGACTTGAAACCGTATGGGCTGTGTGTCAGTCCTCCAGGTTATAGCTGAGGAAGGAACTACCTGCTGATGAAATCAGATATTATTGATGAGTTGCTGTTAGTATTTCATTCTATAATGAAAGTCATTACACATGAAATACTGGGGTGCCCAAGTTACCAGCCAGAATGATGTCCACTCGGTAGATCAGAACAGTTAGCTGGAATTTGACAAATGTAATACATGGTAAATCTTTTGACTGTATAATAGAAATTGATTAGCAAAGGATGATTATCAAAAAGGGCAGAATCTGAGAGCCTAGAATTGAAATTGAGGTGTAATATTTATGAGCTGTTGCTGTTTCTGTTCTGATGAACAGTAAACGTTTTCCTTTTTTTACAGAGAAACAGGATCATCAAGCATGAAATGACGAAGCTCCAGAAGATGGCTTCTAAAAAGGGCAAGAAACCAGAGAAGCCAGAAAAGTCAAAGCCAGAGAAGGCTCAGAAGTCAGAGAAGGTGCCAAAGGCACAGAAGGCACAGAAATAAAATGAACCTCTAGTTATGTATGACTTTGTGTCCTTGTTCTGATTCTTTAACAAATGGTTAAACATCTGATTTAAATTGTAATCATGAGTTCACTTTTGCTTCTGACCAAGAATTGTTGTCTGTCTTGTTTATCCATGTCCAAGCATTGGGTTCTAGTGTTTTTCAGGAACATGCAGAAGTGTTTTTGTCACATTCTGTGAAGTTCACCCTGCAGACTGCGCTCAGTACTCTCCGCCTAACGCCAGTTGAAATATGTGCATACCCAGTTACTTGAAGTAGGTCGGTTTCTGACATTTGAAAGCAGTCTGACAAATTGCTGTTCAAATGCTTTAAATTACTCCATATTTTCTAAAAAACTTCCACTGCTCTTTAAGTAGTGACTGGGAACGCTTCCATACTTAGATGTCTAAAACCACAGTTGTCCTGTAAGTGCAGTTACAATAACGATGAATTAACAAGATGGAAATTGGTGATTTGTGTTTAAGCATGCTTGCTTTTCAGAAGGTTTAAAGTTAAGAGTTTGTGTCAAGACGTGAGCCTAATTCCAGTTCCTCAAACTATGCAGCATATAATTACCACTTTTTAATCAAAACTGTTAAGCAAAAAGGGGCATGACCTAAAAATTACTCAATCCATCTGAAACTGAAGTGCTCGATTTAGTCTTTGCACTATAAAATTCCATTCACACATCATCAATCTTTTCCTGTGTTTTCTCCTGTGTAGTTTGTTGGCAGAGGAGGTGTTTTCTTCATAGTGAACAAAGAAATTGTGGAAGTCTGAGGTCTCTGGTAATTAAAAACAAGTTATTTTCACAAATATGAAGTGGAGGAGGGACGTTATATATTTTAAAAAATGAAGTTTGTAAGACCTTTAAAGATACTGTAAAATGTCTGTCATCAAATACACCGAGAAGCACGTGCTTTTAAGTAGGTACATGGCTGGTGTTGCGTATTTCAGCCAGAATTAGGCGTCTGCATGCTCCAGCACTTCAAGCTGTACAGTGTTGTCTTGAGCTATTTCCACGCCCTTGGAAATTGAGTTCAATCACATGGTTGGTACGAAGGGATATAGAAGCTAAGGAAAAAAGATCAGAAATTATGCAAATTGGGATTAAAGCCCATGTTCAAGCGTCTAGAGATCTTGATTTTAAATTGTTTTTTAGAGTGATTAAATCCACCTACTCTGAAACTCTTTAACTCGAAAGTGACTTGAAAGGTGTGTCGATGTGGAGGTCTTCTGAGGTGAAAGAGTTCTGTGGGGTGGTTCTGGGTTTTTTATGTGCTACTGTTCAGTTATATAAGACTGGGGAAAGATTGGTGTAAGGGCCTGCAGAGAACATGGATGTGCCTGGAATCATAATGAGCTCACAAATGCTTTTTTAAAATTATTTGCTCATTTTTAAAGGTGCTTGCTCCCATAGAAGAACTTTGGCTACGACTGCAGCGATTTATCCAGTGTTTTCCTTCCCACCAGCACCGCTCGGCGGCGACGGAGGTATCTGGAACACTTCCGTGATGGGAAGCGTGCTGCAAGCTGCCAAGCTGCTCCGCACCGGGGAGAGGGATGTGCTGGGATGGAGGGGCGTGGAGCGTGAATGCGCTGTTAGGGACGGAGGGTGCTGTGTGTGCCTTAGGAGCAAGCTCGGTTCTGCAACACCATGTCTGCCATCGAGTGCTGCCGTGAAAGTACCATTTTTTCACAGTTTGGAGGAAAGGGGAGAAGACCAAAAATAGAACATACTGACCTTTGGTGTCTGCGCTGTGTCTTTCTGACAGCATGTGCCGTGTGAGCAGCGTCTGGGGCTGCTTTCAGCAACCCGTGAAACCTCTGCAGCCTCCTGCATGCTCCGCGTCGTTGGTGGGCACCCTTCCTTCCAGTCCGGGGGCGTCCTGCCACCCGTGGTGCTGGTGCGGGGAGCTGAAGAAGCACGGGTCTCTTTCTGAAGGTCACCACACGATGGCAGCGTTCGCGAGGTGGTTCCCAAGGCTTACCCAAACCAGGCAACTGGGGTTTTTCTCAGCAAGGAGCAGTGCTGAGCAAAACGGACGGCGGAAACGTTTGAGAGCAGTGGGCATGCTTATCCAAGTCTTTATTTTGCCGGCATAGCTGTAAAATCTGCTGTTGCTGTCAACCTGCTGCTGTTCCGGGCGGAGTGGTTTGCAGGTGATGCGTACTTCTTCAAAAAAGGCTGTGTTTAAGTGTTTTTGCTTCTTGTCTAAACATGTCTGTTGCTGTGTGTTTGGCATCTGAATGTGTTTCAGGGCTTTTTGAGATGTGATAGACCTGAAAGAGGAACCCCCGGATTTACTGATCTTCCTGGTTTCCAAATATTTGTATTCAGACTGTCCTTCAGTCGAGGTCTGCTTGGCAACCATGACGTTTTCAGATCATTTGGTGTCGTAGTTACGTACGTGTTAATAGTAGATAATACTGTCTGTTCTGAACTACTTCTGCGCCACTGATGCTGACCGTGGACTTGTGGCAAACCTGGTCCGGCTTACAGCTGGATTGGCTCTGTTCATTTTGTCTTCCTTCGCTTGTAGTGCCCCGTCAGTGTCTGCAGCCCTGCACGTTTCTCTCCTTTCCCCTTGCCCACGTTGATAAGGTATCTCTGAAAACTGAGATGAAAAGGTGCTAATTTTTATTACAGAATCACAGAATGTTCGGGGTTGGAAGGGACCTCTGTGGGTCATCTAGTCCAACCCTCCTGCCGAAGCAGGGTCACCTACAGCAGGCT